AACTGAGAAATGTGTACATATTTTGAGACTTTCAGCCTTATTGCTCTTTCATCCATACTGAAACTATTCTAGATACAGGTGAAACTCGAAAAATTAGAATATCCTGCAAAAGTTCATTTATTTCAGTAACGCAACTTAAAAGGTGAAACTAATATATGAGTCATAATTGAGATGATTATGGCTTACAGCTCATGAAAACCCCAAATCCACAATCTCAGAAAATTAGAATATTACATGCAATCAATAAAACAAGGATTGTACATAGAACAATATCGGACCTCTGAAAAGTACAAGCATGCATATGGACTCAGTACTTGGTTTGGGCCCCTTTTGCAGCAATTATTGCCTTATTGTGGCATGGAAACTATCAGCCTGTGGCACTGCTGAGATGTTATGGAAGACCAGGATGCTTCAATAGTGGCCTTCAGCTCTTCTGCATTGTTCGGTCTCATGTCTCTCATCTTTCTCTTGGCAATGCCCCATAGATTCTCTATGGGGTTCAGGTCAGGTGAGTTTTCTGGCCAATCAAGCACAATAATCCCACAGTCATTGAACCAAGTTTTGGTGCTTTTGGCAGTGTGGGCAGGTGCCAAGTCCTGCTGGAAAATGAAGTCAGCATCCCCATAAAGTTTGTCTGCGGAAGGAAGCATGAAGTGCTCCAAAATCTCCTGGTAGACGGCTGCGTTGACCCTGGACTTAATGAAGCACAGTGGACCAACACCAGCAGATGACATGGCTCCCCAAATCAACACAGACTGTAGAAACTTCACACTGGACTTCAAGCGTCTTGCAGTGTGTGCCTCTCCATTCTTCCTCCAGACTCTGCGTCCTTGGTTTCCAAATGAGTTGCAAAAGTTGCTCTCATCAGAAAAGAGGACTTTGGACCACTGAGTAACAGACCAGTTCTCTTTTTCTTTAGCCCAGGTAAGACGCTTCTGACATTGTTTGTTGTTCAGGAGTGGCTTGACAAGAGGAATACGACATTTGAAGCCCATGTCCAGAATCTGTCTGTGTGCGGTGGCTCTTGATGTACCGACTCCAGCCTCAGTCCACTCCTTGTGAAAGTCCCCAACACTTTTGAATGGCCTTTTCCTGACAATCCTCTCTAGGCTGCAGTCATCCCTGCTGCTTGTGCACCTTTTTCTTCCACACTTTTCCCTTCCACATAACTTTCTATTAATGTGCTTTGATACAGCACTTTGGGAACATCCAACTTCTTTTGCAATTACCTTTTGAGGCTTTCCCTCCTTATGGAGGGTGTCAATGATGGTTCTCTGCACAACTGTCAGGTCAGCAGTCTTTCCCATGACTGTGATTCCTACTGAACCAGACTGAGAGACCATTTAAAGGCTCAGGAACCCTTTGCAGGTGTTATGGCTTAATTAGCTGATTAGAGTGGGACACTTTGAGCCTAGAATATTGAACCTTTGCACAATATTCTAATTTTCTGAGATTGTGGATTTGGGGTTTTCATGAGCTGTAAGCCATAATCATTTCGATTATGACACATCACGGCTTGAACTATCTTGCTTTGCATGTAATGAGTCTATCTCATATATTAGTTTCACCTTTTAAGTTGCATTACTGAAATAAATGAACTTTTGCATGATATTCTAATTTTTCGAGTTTCACCTGTATATCCAGCAGAAATTAGTGGCAGTCAGTAACTCTGTTTTCATTAATGGAGAGAATGAATACAAATTTTACAGGAAAATGAAGTGAATGACCCAGTGGTGGGCTGCTGCCGGTTCAGACTGGTTCGCCCAGACTGGTAGTTACAACCATCGGTGCTATGCCGTTCTATATATCTCACTTTTTTGCTCACATGTCCCACCCTCACAGCCCAGCTGCTTCCCGTGCCTCGCCCAATCCACTCACCCTAGCTGCCGCGTGCAGGAAATTCCCATGGTTTTGTAGCCGCGTGCAAGCTGCAAAGGGGGCATGTTCACACAAGCTTCCCATTTTCAGTGAACCGGTTGCTAAAGTATGTGCAGCCCACTTCTGGAGTGACCCCATTTCTTAGCCATATACATTCACCCAATGCCTGTCTAATTTCAACATAGATGAGGCTCTGTCCATATGGCCAGGAAAGAACTATGGAAAACAAGTTTCTAAATTGAAGAGACATGATAGTGAAGTTGAAGCGGAGTATGAAAATGTAATTTGGCTTGTTTGATTTTGGTATATTGGGCCAAGAAGCTGCTGTGATTTATAAAAGTTCATGGTCTAGTGCTGTGATGGCGAACTGTGTGTCGGAAGTGGCACACAGAGCCATCTCTGCTGGCACATGAGCTGTTGCCCCAGCTCAGTTCCACTGCGCATGCATGCGTGCCTCCTGCCAGCCAGCTGTTTTTTGGGTATCTGCCACACATGCATGGGGGGCAAGGTGCATGCGGGAGAGACATCTGCATGTGCAAGGGGGCAGGTGAGTCATGTGTGTGTGTGTGGGGGGGAGTTGTAGGTGTCATGTGTGCATACATAGGGGAGCGTGGGCGGTCATGTGCACATGTGTGGGGGGAACACAGAGGGTCATGCATGCATTGCATTATGGGTACAGGTATGTGTGCATGCACATGCATGCACTTTCGGCACGCAATGACAAAAAGATTAGCCATCACTGGTCTAGTGTGACTATATTTTTTCTGATATTCATTGAACACTCTTGGATTGGTTATTACCTTGCAGACATTAGGTGATATAAATATGCTATATTTATCAATACTCTTTGAGAAAGAATAGGATAACATGGAAATCTAAAATGGGGTAAAGATGTTTGCCCACATACTTTGGAAAGCTAGGTTAGTATTGTCTTTTGTTAAGGTTGAGAAGATTCAGTTGTTATCCAAACAAGAGATACATGCTGGGAAAGCATTCATACTAGCAAGGCGCGCATTAAGCAGTTGTTAGTGTTCTGTTTCACACCACTCTAGTCTATGTTGTGGAGTATAGGTTCCTTTCAGCCATTCCCATCTTCATGATATTTCCTTTTTTCTCTTTTAGAAACATCAGTTCTTCTTAGTTGATGCTCGGGTATAGGTTCCTCTGAGTTGGAAACTGATCGAACAGACCCAGAGTTTTATTTTTTAGACTCGGGAATGTCGCAGGGGAACATTGAGAAAATTGAAAGCACAAAAGATGTGCTTTCTTTTCCTTCTGTTGTGATCAGCAACCTCAAAGAAGTAGCAGGGTGCCTCCAATCATTGACCTTGGACTTAGAAAGAAGCTGGGTATTTGACCTATATGTCACTGACCCTTTTAGGCCCACTGAAGGTATTTGGCTTTAAATGTGGCAATTGGGAAGTGTAAAATTATTTTAATCCATGAGCAAAGCAAGCTTGCATTTTGTTCTCCCCCTTATAAAACTACTTAATTTGTACGAGGCTACCTGTACCTTTGTTGACATTCCTACTTCCTATCTTATCTCTTCAAAAAGAAATACCTAATTTTCATATCTAAAATGCTGTTGTAATGTTCAGTTAGATCCTTTTCTGATAATTCCTGAATCAGTCCTTAGGTGATTTCAGCACAAACTATTTCAGTTAGGGAATGTATGCATATTATTTTACTGAAATTTAGCTATTTCATTTCAGCATCATTTCAGGTTTTATAGCACTAAAAATAGTGGGCTGAATTATACTCCACTTTCCCACCATGCTAGTGCCCTAGCTGATATGCAGAATGATCATAAGGGAATTATGCTGGCAGATGATGAAGGGATCCCTAATATAATATATGTAGAGGATACGGGTTAGCGAAAACTATAGTATTTCCTAACTGTTCGTGAAGGATTATGGATTTGAGGAAGGTGAAATATTAGGCCAAAAATGGCCACATGCAGATTAACAAGCCCCTCCCCCATCCACAAATAGCCACTAAAGCAACATGCTTAGATGTGATTTCCTAGGGGAGAATTTCCTAGGGGGGTAATCATATTTGCTGTAACTGTCTACAGTAAAATAACTACCTTATCAAGGTCCTGCATATTTTCTGGAGTGTAATCCTACCACATTATTTAAAGGTCAAGTGGAGATCTCAGTTTAGGGTGTGTGTGAAAGTATGCTTCCCTTGAAATAGCAGAACAAGCTGAAGGAATGATAACATAATTTTGAATTCTAGAATGCTTTCAATGCTAACTGAATTGCTCCCCCCCCTTAATGATTACATTGTAATCATGTTGTGTAGTCCATGGAGAACAATTGGGGTGGTAGACAAAGAGTCCTCTGCTTCACCTGTTTTCAGTGCTTGCCATCTGTTTCACAAAGGCAGTGGCATTTTCTTCTGGCAGAAGCAATGAAGTATTCTTTTCAACAGCTGGTTGTCATAACACCCCTTCCCAATTACCTATATCAAAGGAGAATTGAATGTTTAAAAGATGGTTGGTAACCATAATTCCTTCCCCTTAGTACCAATCCATAATGTTATGACATAGTATTAAACAGAGAGAGTTGGTGTTGGGAAATTGTTGTCTTGAGTTGCCAAGAAGTGCATCTTTGTTTCAGACAAGACCTCTTTTAAATTATATTAAATTAAATTTTTATAATTTATGCACTGGCAAGAACAAATAAACTGGAAAATGCATTGTAATAAAATTATTAAAAAGAACAAGAACTTATGGCCAGGTAACAGCACCCCTCCCCCCCAACAAATGCAGCAGGATACCATCCACCCTAACTCAAGGTGTAGAGAACAGCTAGATCTTTAAGGCTGTGAAGAATGCCATCACTGTTGGAGCTAGATGGATCTCAGGAGGAATATCATTCCATAGCACTGGTATTATGACAAAGTGTGGTGCACTTCTCTCTCTTTTAGCTCCTACTTCTGGATTTTTTACTTTTCCTTCCCTTGTAATCAATGAATAAGGGTGCTGAAATGAACTATTTCCAGTTGTCTGGTGGTAAATGGTGATAAAGAGGAAGCCCTGGGAATTTCACATGAGTAAGAACTGCATCTTGAAAGTCTCTGAAGTAAGAGTTTATTTAACACCAGTGCTTGTCCTCCAGGTGACTCGCGTGCCAGTGGAAAGCTGTGAGCAATATACAACATGTGCACTGTGCCTGGGTTCTAGAGATCCTCACTGTGGTTGGTGTGTCCTACATAATGTGTAAGTATGCTGAATTTGGTTTGATTTGGTTTGGGTTGATGGTGTCTCCTTCTCCACACTCCTTTATATTTATATACAAAAACTTTATTCCATTATGGAAGCCTTACTTCCGATGTTTTGAATGCTTATAAACCTGTTACAATAGTACAATTAATCTTCAGTTTAGTAACAAGGTCATGTACAAAGAAGAATATGGTTCTGTATTGTCTAGATCAGGGGTTACCAACCTTTTGGACCTTAGAGACCACCAAACTCATACTTTTAAATCCGGAGGACCACTAACATGAATTTTTAAAAAAAGGTAATATATTTAATATAAAAATTTTATTTTTTATATTAAATATAAATGTATTATTTAAAAAATTGAATTTTTAACTTATAAATATATGTAAATATATATTTTTAAATATAAAAATGCTTATTTAATTATAACAAATATATATATAAGAAAAGCAGAGCTCCTCCCCCTCAAATCTGGTCTCCTGTCATTTCATATCTCCCCCAAGTCAGATGAAAACTCCCTCCTTTGCCAGATGTGGCTACCTGGAGTTGGGAGAGGGAAGGAGGGCTGGGCTGGAAGTCTCTCCCCACCTCGGGTCTTTAACACCTGGCTTGCTTCTCCACTACTGCCTCCTCCTCCTCCTCCTCCTCCTCCTCCTCCCCCCCCCCCCC